TTGGAAAGCCCAGGAGCCATTTTTGCTCCTTTCTTTTTCTTCAGCTGTCACATTCCAACTCAAAAGCAAACCCCGTTAATTCTGTGTCCAATCTGTCTGATATATCTAATGACATTGCTCTACTTTTGCTGTCACTCTCGTGCCTGCATTCATGATTTCTGGGTATCCCTTACAGTATCCTTGGACCAGTATGGCCTGTACACACTGAGGGGAGAGAGTAACATGTATGGATCAAGCGCATGACACTGTACAACTAACTAGGTTGCCTGATTTGAATTCCTAAACACCAGCTCTGACCCTTAGTAGCTGTGCGTCTGTGGGGAAGTGATTTAATTTCTATGTGCTCAACATTTCCTCAACTGTAACATAGGGGGAAATAATAGCACCTACTTTATGGAGTTGTTGTGAGGATTAAATAAGTTAAACATATTAAGTACTTGGAAAAATACCTGGTGTATAGGGAAAATGGCTTAAGTGCTAGTCATTGTTCTTACTATAATCTGTCTCCCCACATACAGTTTTGCTCCATTCTGCTAGAGGAATAAATATACATACATACACACCTGTGTGTGTGTGTGTGTATAAAACTTTTTTTGTTGAAATAATTTGGGATTTACAAAAGAATCACAAAGATGATTCAGAGTTTCTATATTCCCTTCATCCAGCTTCCCCAAATGTTAGCATCTTATATAATTATGGTACATTTATCAGAACTAAGAAGTCAGCATTAGTATAATGCTATTAACTAAACTATAGAATTTATTTGGATTTCTTCAGGTTTTCCACTAATGTCTATTTTCTATTCTAGGAGCCAATCTAGGATACCACATTGCATTTAGCAGTGGATTATCTTCTAATGCAAATGATCAGGTTGATTCCTGAGAACCCTTCCCGAGTCTGCCTGACTCTGAGGCTGGTGTCAAGTCCTCAACAGGGCATATGGGGCTCCTGGTTGATTCTGCAGCCTCATCTTGCCCCTCTCCAGGGCTCTGAGTAGGAGCTGTTGGGCTTTCCTGAGGCTCTAGCCACCAAACATGTCTCCTCTGCACCCAAGCTGTTCCATCTGCACCAACACTCTTCCCCTGCCTTTTGGTCAGCTACTTTTTCTTTAGGGCTCAGTTTACATTTGTCACTTCCTCGTGGTGTCCCAGGCACATTCCCTCCTGTTTTCTCCCATGGCTCCTGTTGCATTCTTGTAACTGCTTCCGTAATTGTTTATAATGCTTGATTCACTTCCAATAGGCTGTCAGTTTCTGCTGGACAGGGACCACGTCAGTTTTGCTCTCTTCTCTCCCTAGCATCTTGAACATGCCTGGTATCTGGTAAGCACTTAATGAGAATGTGCTGATTGATTCCTTCACATCCTGTGCCACTTTCTGCCAATCACTTCCCCTGCCTGAGCCTCAGTGTTCTCATGTGCAGACTGAGGAAGTTAGTGTGTTCAATGGTTTTCAAATTATTCTTTGAGAACCCTAAGATTTCTTGGGCTTTCCTTATTCCTTGACCACTGCTTCAGTAGGAGCCCTGTTTAAAGAGCATGATATTCTTGTGCACTGGGTTTGGACTTCTGAAAAGGAATCTTCTTAATGGATTTGAAGATTCTGCTGCTTAGAAAAAGTTGAAAACTCTTGATGGATTATTGTGTTATGTATTACATATAGTTATGTGATTTAACCACTCCATGATATATATGCACATTTCTTTTTGTAGGCCATGGAGAGCCATTATTGGGATCTGTCGGATCTGTGCTTTCAGGAGATGAATCTGGCAACGATGTGGGTAGGATGGACACATGACAATTGGTCAGTGAAAGTGGAGGCGACCTGGGAGAATGGGTTGTCAAAGAAGACAGTGACAGAAGGATTCAATGGAGAAGGTTGCCAATGGTATGCGATACTGCAGAAAGCAGGCAGGGACAGAAGGATTTTTGTTTTGGTTGGTTTATTTGGGGTACTAGAGATTGAACCCAGGGGTACTGTATCACGGAACTATATCCTCAGTCCTCTTTATTTATTTATTTTTTTCTTTTGTGGAAGAGTCTTGCTACATTGCCCATGCTGTTCTCAAACTTGTGATTCCCTTCCTCTGCCTCCTGAGTTGCTGGGATTCCAGGCATGTCACCAAGCTCTGCCAGAAGAGGTCTTTGGAAACAGTGGCAAAAACACCAGTGACCTTTGAGAGAATGATATTGGCGGCCAAGCAAGGACAGAATCCAGATCAAAGGGGGGAGAAGCAGCAAGTGGAATCAGAAGCAGCAGGTGTCCTTCTTTCTTTTGAGAAGCTTGGTGGTGGACAGAGGGATGATCTGATCAGAAGCCTGGAGGGTTAGTGAGACAGGCCCAGGAGCCTTTTTGATGGAGAATCAAATGCTGCTGAACATCTGGGAGTCAGACAGAAAGAGCCGGTGGACAGTGAGGGATTGGAGAAGCAGGTATCTGAAGTGAAAGGTGTCGTTTATGGAGCAAGCCCTGGACAGGGGTGGATGGTGGGCAAGAGGGGAGGAGAGCGCAACCTTGGGAAGACAGATATTTTTCTGGAGGGAAGACAGAGAGCAGCGCAGGTGGAAAGTGGGGTAATTAATAAGGTCATGGCAGCGAAGTGGAAGCTGAAGTTGCCTGCAGAGAGAGGTTGGAAGGTGACTTCTTATTTCACAAGTGGGAAGGCCGAAAGGAGTGGCAGGGCGGTGTGACTAGTGATCTTCAGCACCTGTAGAGGGAGAGGAGCCACTGTCTGTGGACCTTCCTAGGAGAATCAGGGCCTGTGGCATCTGTTTGGGGGAGTAGATTTCAAGTTAGTCTAGGGATGACTGTGGGGATCCAAGCTGACCGGCCATGGAATGAACTTCCAGTCACTCTCAGATTGAGGCTGCTGGGTCATTTATCAGCCATGCTGTTGATGGGATCCTTGCTCTGGAGTGGAGACGGATGAGATGAGTTCCACATGCCCTCCTGTCTCTGAGACTGGGTGACTGCTGGAATGACAATTCACTCAAAGCTCAGGCTGCTGGGCTCACCTTTCCCACACCCCAGAGCTGCAGTCAGCTAAGCTGGGAGACCAGACAGATCAGTCCAAGAGACAGGCCGTCCCAAGGACACTTTCCCCAGCCCCTCCCTCGGCCTGGAGACGTTTTTCAGACAAGCACTGTTGGGCTTGGAAAAGGCCCAAAGTCAATACAATAATGACTTCCCCTCCCGGCCATATCCCAGGCCCCTCTGTGTCATTCAGTAATTGGCTAATAAAGCTCACTTTGATGTGAGGAAACTCTATGAAGAAATCCCCAAGATTCCCCAACCCCCTGGAAAGTGTTGATAGCAGAAGGTGTGTTGGAATGGTACTCCGAATGGAGGTCACCCCTTCCAGTGTCCCCAGTCCTCAATCAAGGTCAGTTGAGGTTGAGGGCAAGAGGAAAGAAAAGGAAGAGGAGGAGGCTCAGAGAAAGTGTGGCCAGAACTTGAGTCAACTCCAGAGACAGCCTGCCTAGGTACCCCTTTCCCTAAGCTGACAGGCCAACCTTGCCCCAGGCAGTGCTCCTCGGGGTAGTGGGGAAACCACAGCCCCTAATTACTGTTATCATCACAGTGGTAGCTGTGGTGATTATGATGGTGCCTCTGTATCCCACAGTGCTTAGCAACATTTAATTATTGTTATTCCTACCGAGATCACTGCAGAGCCTCTCTATTGCCATGGCTGCCATTCTCTTGGGGATGGATCAGCTAAATGCAGCTGCACCCCACCGCCAGGTCCAATGATCTAGTGTGTCTAAGTGGTACCAAGATGGCTAACAGGCAGCCAGTCTCTCCCCTGTGGGCTGAGGTGTCCCAGGGATCTCCATGGCTGTTGGGGCAATATGTAAAGGCAATAGCCCCATCTTGAACATCCATTTCTCCAGAAAAAAATGAGTTCAGAAGGGGAGTTAGTATAGTCCCTGTTTCTATTCCAAGGGCTAAACGGGGAGACCAGACAGAGATCAGCCCGAGAGGCAGGCCATCCCAAGGACACTTTCCCTACATTCCTGTGAACCACCACATCCAGAATCCTAGGGAAGATTGCAGGTGAGTGGAGGCAGGTTTCCTGCTTTGGGACTGGAATACTTAAAAATTAGCTTCCACTGAGCCTGTGCATGGACCTAGGAGCTTAGATCATGAGGATGGGAAGCCACTTGCAGAGCTTCATCCTTGAACAGTTCTGATGGAGAAGAATGAAGAATAAATTTTTTAAAAAAGAGGACTTTGAGAAAGGAAGAGGACACTTGGCTTCCTGCCCTGTCTTCCCTTATATTTTGGTATAGGTGTCATGGTTGGGTTGACTGTCAGGATGGATTACTTTGGAGGAATGAGTATTTTTCTTTTTGAGACCATATGGAAGTAAAGAAATGGAACTTGTTTTAAAGGAAGAGCAGAACTCCTTGGTCAGTTCAAAAGCAGCAGAGAAAATGCTCAGGGGACACTTGTCCTGAGTGTGGAGCCGAGGCTGGGGCTGTGGAGCTGCGGGTCTTAGCCTCAGTGGGCTGCAGCCCTTTCCAGGAAGAAGCTGATGAAAACTATGTCCATCTGCCCTGAGAACCACACTTCCGCACAAGGAGAGTGTTTCACGGTGACCTGTGGAAGACCAGCTGGGGCCCTGAGCTGAGAATCCCTGCTGAAGAAGGCGTCCTTTGGAGAGGAGGCAGCCCTGAGCCCAGCATCCCTGTGATCTGGGCTAATGAGGGTTGCTGGTGACATAGAGAATTCTGGATAAGGAAAATCCAAGTCAGGTTTCTATAATGTGAAGTGAAAAGGACAAGTATAATACACATGCTGCATTACAATTCCATAAAAATAGGCATCTATGAAGAGGAAAATGGGGCAGTGACCTGGAAAAATGAAAAAAATTTGTGAATGAAGATTTTCCATTTTAATTTTATTTAAAAAATTTACTTTAATATAATCACAAAGTTACTTTAATAATAGATTTAACTTTTCCCTATATTATGTAAAGAGCTTTTCCTGCAGAAATGAGCTTCTGAATTATATTTGATTTAGGTTAATATTAATGCCCTGTACTCCTTGAGCACGTTCTTCTGGGGAGAGGTGCTCCTGGCTGGTGGTGAGTGGCCTGGGGGGGGTGGTGACATCCAAAGGGTAGGCAGAGCCCATGAAGGTAACTGAATTTTGAGGAGCTGAATTTTGTGTGTTGCTCAGGAGGCAGCTGAGCAGAGGGACGTGATGACCTGCAAGTTGGGAGTACTAGGCTGAAGTCCTGAATCTGCCAACTGTGAAACCCGGGACAAGAAGGGTGACCAAGGACATGGGAATCTTGTGCTAAAGCTAGGAAAGCCCTGGTGAGTCTGGACAACTTGTTAGTTATTTGACCTCTTCAAGTCAGTGTCTTAGACTTGTGGAATGGTGCTGATGGCTCTCAGGATCTTGGTAAAAGTGCTCTGTAAATGTGTTATCTTCACACCTGTTGGGGGTGGTGATTATTTGAGGGGTGGGATGGAGGAAGGGATGGGGGTAGGGGACTTCTCCTCAGCCTGGAGCAGACTTTAAACAATAATTCATTCAAGGAATTTATGGGGGTTGGGGAATCCCCAGAAACACACAGAAACACACACACACACACACACACACACACACACACACAGAAATATTATGGACCAACTATGACCAGATACTATGCTAGGCCTAGTATAAAGTATTTAGGATAAAGCCCTAAACAACTGAGACTTGTTCCCCTCCTTCCTGGGACCAAAGTCCACTAGGATAAGCAAGGATCAATGAGGAAGTGGGACAGCAGGGAAATCTAGAGCCTGTGGGAATGTCAGGTGTGCAGGGACCTTTCCCTAGTTAAAAGGTCAGGAAAGATTGGGAAGTGTAACTTCAGAGGTGAATAGAGCCCGGGGGGGGGGGGCGGTACTATTGTGAGAAGGAAAGGAAACCAGGAGGCCCAGAGACTGGGCATGTCATCAGCCTTGTGTGCTGGAGGTGGCATGAATTCCTAGGACAAGGGGAGCCAGGGTGGGGCTGGAGAAGAGCAGGACTCTTTCAACCCCTCCACTCAGCAGCCTCCACGCTTACTATGCTAAGATGATGATCCAGGGCTGGGCACTGATTATCCTTTTGATCCCAGGTCCTCTGGACTTGATGGTGCTGTCTCTGTCCTGCCCTGAAGGCCCCTGAACTTAGCCCATCTGCAGAGCGCCCCTGCAACTCCAAACCTGCTGCATCAATCTGTACATTCCCCTGGCAGGGGCCCTGCCTCCGGGCACAGACCATGGCTCCAGAGAACAGAGTGGCACCCCTCCCAAGCTTGCTGCTGTCACCACAATGTGTCTGTGTGGGTTTGATGGCTGCATGGTAATGGCACTCAGGGTTTGCTGGGGGCTCACAGAGCCCAAGCAGCTGATAAATAATGAACAATTATACTAATCGGCCCTGGAATAGGGAGGCAGGTGTGCACACACATGCTTGTGCACACATATTTAGATTCACTGACATTTATGCCCATACTTTTGTTGAAACTCTGGCAAACACATGGAGACACTCCCTGCCACTTGGAAGAGATGAAGAGACATTACATATTCATTACATCAGAGACACGCCCCTTCCAGCATGGACACACACATGTAGCAAATGCCATCTACATAACCTGCACACCTATGCTGGCCCACACCTCCTCATAAACACATCATGGGGATTTTAAAAAAAGCACCTATATCAAGTTTTTAGCTCAATGCCTGGTACATAGGACTGTTGCATTATATTTTAGTATAATATTATTATATATGACTACATGAAAGCTCTTTAATGTGTGTCCTTGTGCTGGAAAACCCATAGGCACATACATTGAACCACATGTGCTTTTAAAAGTAGGCGCAAACACAAGAACTCCACCCTTCCACAAAACTGGCGCATACCCTCCCATGTAACACAAACAAGCTCACCCTCAGACCTGCAGGTTGCCATAATTTGCTCTTCCATTCGCACCTACACACAATCACAACAGCAATAATAATCTTAGCCAAACCAGGTTGGGTGATTGCTTTATATTTTTCCAAGGCCTTTCAGGCCTATAATCTCATTTGATCCTCGAAGCAGCCCTGTGGCGTAGGTGGGTGGAGCAGGCATTATTACCCCAGGTTTATGGCTAAAGAACCAGAAGCCAGAGATGTGAAGCGCGCCATCTGGGAGGCAGCCTGGAACCCAGATCCGACTTCATGGTAGTGAGCTTCCCATGGCCTTCAGATACCAATCTGACAAGCTCCAGCCCTCCCTATGAAGCAGGGCAGGGGTCTGCTAGATTCTTGATTCCTGGTCAAAACATTCTCCAGAGTCAATCCTAGTAGAGGAGTGGGAATTGGAGGCTGATAAAGGGAAACCACCATCATTAGAAATCCCATAAACTCTCATTTACAACTCCCTGTCAGATGAAAGGAGCAATTGCATGTGTTGGAGGGAAAAGCAACTACTGATTTCCTTTAGGACAACCGGCCTCTGACAGTTGATCCTGGGAGGGCCCTCGGGAGGTCTGGGGGGAGTTGCCCTGTCCCATTTGGGCTCCCCCCAATTCTGTGCACTTCCTCTCCCCTCTGTCCAGGCTGGCCTAAGGGTCCTTAAGCTCTGGTTCCAGGGGAAGGGAGGAGAAAAGAACAAAGAAGGAGAGTCCTGTTCTCAGAGTCCCCCTCTCCTCCCACATTGCAGCCAGGCTTTCCTTTTGGTGGAGTCCCAAGCCCGCAGCACAGAATGGGCACCCTGACTCCACCAGGGCTGGGGTAGGAACGGGGAGTCACCTCATATCTGGCCTGCCATGTCTTCCGAGGCCAGACCCATAGATCTGACAACTTTGCAAAGTGGCGAGGGCAGCTTCCTTCAAAGGCCCGTGCCCTGTCCTGGGGGAGCAGCCTGACAGTGAGGGCGATCGTCCCTCCTTTTGCTGATGCTTCCCTCTGGTTTCATCATCACTGTGGGCCTTAGTTTTTACATCTGCAAAATGGGAAGAGTAGACCAAATTTGCTGTGTGGTTGTGAGGAGACGAGATGAGGTGAGGCATGCACAGCCCACAGCACAGTGTCTGTCACACTGCTGGGCCCCACAGGGGCAGGCCCCATCCCCTGCCCTGGAAGCTTCCTGGGGAACACCTCTACTGTCAAGGCTGGAAGGGTAGCCTGGCAAGAGGGCGTCCCCAACTTCCTGGGTGTGCCGGCTCCGGCTGGGAGGTAGGAGGGAGGGGCAGGGAGGGGACATCTGTTTGACACTCTTGTCAGCATCCGTTACCTGGTGTGTATTTTCCCAGGAGCTGATTACATTACAGCATGTGTTGATAAACATTTGGAGTTGGAGCAGGGAGGAAGCTGAGCGGAATGCTAAGTGGTTGGGGTTTGGTCAGAGACACTGAGAAGGGGCTGGCTATGATGGGCGGGAAAAGGGGACAAGGGCCCCCATCCAGAGGCTTCTCAATCTGCCTGGCCCCTTTCTGTTTCTGATCTCTCTCCTTCCCTAGGTCCTGGCACTCAACTGCACATCTAGACTTGGCCCCAGAGGCCACCTGTAGTAGCAGAAGAGGTATGGCATTTGCACCTCAGGCAGCAGGGGTCCCAATGGTAGCTCTGGAGTAATGATTGAGCCAGGAGACATCCACCATGCCGGCCATGGAGTGCTCAGTAAGTGTTGGCTCTTCCTCATCCCCAGTTGGCCCACAGGAAGATGGCCACAGTCGCCTTGATGGTGCCCCAGATTTAGGCAGCCCTTTCTTGTTTCCTTGGTTGGGACTGCAAAGGCAGCCCAGGGCAGGGTCGAGCACACTCAGGCGGCAGCTAGAGCTAGGTAATTGTGTGGTTATGTGCCTGACTCTTTCTCCCTAGTCGATGAACTCCCCCAGGACAGGGTGGTGTCTCTCTGGTCATGATGGAATGTTCAGGGCCTGGCACTGGCAGGAATGAGTGACTGTCATCCATCTGGTTTGTCTGGAGCTGCATGGTCAAGGTAACCTATTTTAGGTTCTGCATTGTCTTATTCCTCAGCCATTCTGAGTTCAGAGCACTAGATGTGCCTCTCACTTGGCTTTTGGCATAAATTACCTTGGATGCCTTTTTCCGCTGTGTGTCTAATCTCTCTGAGGCTGTGGTCTCCTTGAGGATAAAGGCATCTAGACTTTCAAGAGGAGGGTGGGCAACTGTCCCTCTGTCCAACTGTCCAATTCAATAGGCACCTGTAAGTGAGAGAATGAATGAATGAGTGCACGAATGCCACCTTCCAACCTCTCTCCCCCATCTGTGCGTCCTTAGGTAGGCACCTGCCACTCTCGCCCTTTTCCAGAAGCGCTGGGTGCTTGGGCTGCTGCTGGGAGTGCCCTCAAGTGGGACGAGCACAACGGGCCCAGCGCCATCTAGCGGGCGTGGCGCCTGGGGATTGCGCATCTGGGTCTCTCCGGTTCTGGATGCCTCTGCTCCTGAGGGTCCGATTCTCTGCGCTGAGGGTGTGGAGACCTTGGGAGAGCATACGCCTCCGGGTTTGGGGAGAGTGGGGGCGGTATCCCAGACAGCAACAAGCCTGGGTCCTGCACCGATGTGCATAGGAGCCGGCCTCCCACCCCTCCCCCACACTTGGTGTCATAGCTCCCAGTCCTTTTCTGCCACAAAGAGGCCATTGATTGGGAAGAGTAGCTGGGCTGTGATAGGGAAGCTGAGGGGACACACGCGCGAACACACACACACACACACACACACACACACATCTAACATCTCCTCCTGCAGCACCCATCATACTGGGCAGAGAGGGTGTGGGGAGGTGGCCAGTGTGCTAGTCTTGGGGAAAGCTCTGCCTCCTGATTGCCAGTTCCTCTTCCCTGCCCCATCCCATGCCTAATTTTTGCAAGCTCTTTTGGATGAATCCAAAGAGAGAGTGGTCCATTCTCCCAGGGCTGGCACTACCTCCTCTCCCCCACCGCTCCAGGTGTGCTCTCCTTTCCCCAGCAAAGACCTTTCATGGCACTTAGGGGGCCCTTTTAATACCAGGCAAAGCCAATACTGTTAGGAAGGAGGAACTGCTGTAGCAGCTGCTGAATGGACAGATTATATGCAGTAATGCATCCCCAGCTGGCCTCTGGTTTATCAACACACCCCTCTCCAGTGGATGGCCATGGATTGGCACACAGGAGAAAATGTTGATAGACTGCGTGAGATGGGGACAAGAGGGGAGGAGTCCCAGACAGGAATACTTTTGGCAGCAAGGATTCCCCAAATCTCTCTTTTCCTACCATTGAAATTAGGAAAACTGCCCCCAATGTCAAGGTGAGGCTGGATTTGAACCTGTGCCAAAGGTTGAGCTTCTGACCCTTCTACAAACTCTTGCTTGGTTCCCTCTGTGACAGGGAGGTCTTTACCTCTCACAGAAGATGAATCCTGGCCTTTGGAAACCAGGACAGCCTGGGCTCCCTATTCGTCCTGCTCAGCTGCATCAGAGGTGGAGTCCACCCTGGCTCTGGTGCCCATTGCTGGTCCCTGCCCCACCCTGCTTCAGAGCAGGGATGCGCTGGAGGTGAAGGCGAAGGGTAGCTGCAGTTGGTACAATAAAGAAGGGACTGGGAGGTTCAGGAAACAGGCTTCTGAATATCCTCCTTGGTGCCTGCCTCAGAGCTGCCGATGGCCACCTGGTTGCGGCAGGTACACGGGCACTGGCTGAGAGGCTGGGTGGGAATGCTGGCTTGCTTGGTCTGTGGCCCTTCTTTCTGCTTCCAAGATTGGTGCACAGAGTGTGTCCCTTTTTGTGCGACATCTCATCTGGGTTCTTCCAGTTTCCTGGTGCCTGGCAGTTCACTCCTTTCCCAGATGGCCCGTCCCAGCAGATAACTGGAGGACCGAATTGCAAACTGTGCTGGGCAACCTGGACAGCACCACGCCCTCCACATACAGCTGCAGGAAAACAGGGCCAGGACAAGGTGTCAGGAAATAGTCACCACTGACATTTACTATGCTATCAGTCAGGAAATGCACTAAGTGTCACAGGTGAATTCACTTTCATCATTGTCATAAAACTCTACAAGTTCATGTCTTTATTATCCCCGTATTATTGAAGAAGAAACTGAGGCACAGAGAAGATAAGGCACTTGCCTGAAGTCTCACAGCCAGAAAGTGGCAGTGGTTGGATTCAAACCCAGAAATTTTGACTCTGTCTGAGTTTAATAAGTATGTCATATTGCAGGTATTATGGGGGGGGGGGTTGTGCACAAACATGCACACACCCATGTGTGTTTATTTTCACCACCATTTCTGGGCAGCAGAGCTCAGTGCTGCTATGAATCCCGGACTAGGAATTAAGGCGGGAGGAACTTCTGCTTTGTTTGTTTGTTTCTTTTCTTGCAGTGCAGGGGATGGATCCCAGGGTTAGGGTGAGCTTTACGACGGAGCTACACCTCCAGGCCTGCATTTTTTTCTTTTTCCTCTTTCTACCCTCCCTCCCTGCTTCCATCAAATGGCCCTCATCCTAATCTAAATTCAAAGTTCTCTTCTCAGCATGCTCAGGGGTTCTCCTGAAGCAGGAGACCCTGTATGGAAGTTTCCAGGCCAAGACAGATATACTGGCCTACCCAGATGTTAGGGGACACATTCGCAATGAGGTAGTGTAGAATAAATGTGGTTGGTAGATGGGAAATAAATAGGGAAGATCTGTATTTATGTTCCACACCAGTCAAGGGTTAGCTGGTACACGGTTCAGAGAGTTTTATGTTCAATTTTATGTCTAGACAGAGTTTGAGATGAGGTTATCACTTCTCTCCTAATTAGTACAAGAAGGCCTCCCCAGGCACTGCTTTCAGGAGCTCTCCTGCTGTCTTGGCTTTGCCATCTGTCCCCAAGAGTAAGACTCGGGTAGACTGGAGTGAGGGAATAAGCACTGGATTGGGAGTCAGAATATCTGGGTTTTTGACCTTGGTTTTACCACCAGTTTGCCATGTGACCTTGGATAAATTACCTAACATTTTCTGGGTATTCACTTCTTAACTTGTAAAATGAGCAAGACTAGACTAGGTTTTGTTTTGTTTTAAACCAGGGATTAAATCAAGGGGTTCTTAACCACTGAACCATATCCACAGCCCTATTTTTATATTTTATTTTGAGATAGGGTCTTGCTAAGTTGCTGAGGGTCTCGCTAAGATGCTGAGGTTGGCTTTGAACTCATGATCCTCCTGCCTCAGCCTCCCCAAGCCGCTGGGATTACAGACATGTGCCACTGCGCCCAGCATTAGCAATAGTAGTCTTATCAGGCCCCTTCAGTGGATGCATTCCCTGGAGTCTGTGAACTGGGTAGATGGTGCGCTCTGCAGACACCTGGCCAAGAGGTAGGTGGGAGCCCGTGTCCAGCCTCTGTTCTTCTCACCAGGTTGTGTGCTTTGGTGGGATCTGCATTCACCAGAAGAAATGGGCACTTTTTCAAATTCATGCAGAGGCCACATGGACTAGCAGTGGCTTTATAAGGTCCTCATGCAGATTGACTTCCAGTGGTCGAATGGGAGGTGGTGAGGGGAGTTTCTTTATTGGAAAGTGATATGGTAACCTGGGGTGGAGGGAGGAACAGGGAGTGTTCTTCTGTCCATGAACTCACGTGGAGATGGAGCAGGGAGCAGTGGAAGACATCAGCTCAGAGCTAAACTTAAGAAGCCAGGGAGGTTGGGGCAGAGAGGCCACCTTGGTTGACAGTGGGCACCCATATGGAATGGGTCCTTTGATGGAGGTCAGGGTATCCGTCTCCCTCTTAGGTCACTGCTATCTCCAGTTCCCCCAAGGTGGCCAGCTGGTCTCTCCACGTGGCTCCTCTTGCTGAGCCCTTCTTTAGAATGAACTAGGAAGGGCCAGAGTTTCTCAGGGCCTCTGCTCTTTTTGAGAGTATCCCTTCTTCAACAGCTGGATTTGGGGGCCTCCTCAGGGCCAGGCCTTATGTTGAACAGAGAGACATGCACCTGCCCGCAGGAACACACCATCTCACAGGTTCTAGTGGGAAATGGTCCATCCTCTGGGGCAGGGGAGTCTAGGGATTTGGGATGGTCTGGGCTCTGTCTGTTCTAAGACAAAAGCTGTTACCCTAGAAATGAGGACTATGGGAGGCCACCAATTTAGTTCTCATTAGCTGTTGATAAGTAGCAGATCAGCTGGGGACAGATTTCTGAGGTTCCCCAGTGTGCCCAGGGGATGTGTGGTCCCTGAAGAGGAAGACGGGGATGAAGGTCTCTGCAGAGGAGGCAGGGGTGGGAGGCTGGGGGTTCTGTGGGACAAAGCCTCACTTTTACTTGGTTGGGGTGACGGAGAACGAGGTGATGGAGGGAGGAGGCACAGAGAGGGGCTTCTCTGTGAGCGTGACCCTCTGCTGGTCAGCCAGACTGTGCCTCTGGGGACCAAGTAGCACACACCTATTCAGAAGTAGCCCTTCCCTTTCTTTCTGCCTTTTGAGTCAATCTGCATGATCTGGTCAGGGGAGAAAATCCCCGATTCTGTCTAACTCTAAGTCCTTCCGGCTTTGGGGCTTGCTCATTTCCATGTAGCACATCAGGTATGAGATTTGGGCCATTCCAATGGCAGAGACTTCCTGGGCTTCTCTGTCTCCTTGGCAGATCGAGTTGTGTGGGGTGCAACCAAGCCCCCTGGCTGTCATCTCTACAGGGACAGCTATAGAAATATCAGCATGGCTGTACCATGCAGGCCCACCCCTCTCTCCCTGGTGCCTGCCACTCTGTTCTTTAAAAGAAAGGGACTGCAGGGGAGCTGATCATTAATCTTATACTCACAGCTTGGCTGTGCCAAGTGACATTTTGTTTTGAAGATGTCCCTGTCCCTTGGCTTTCTTATATCCAGTCTCTGCTCCCTGCTATAGTGGGAGATGGGCTCTGAGCAGCTCTCACTAGAAGCAACTGTGTGTTCTCCACCTGTATAATGATATTGATAACAAGAACAATGAGCTCATGTATGCTGAGCTCCTATGGTGTGCCAGACACTCTTCAAAGTGCTTACACATATGTATTAGTTTCCTGTTGCTGCTATAACAAATTATCACACACAATATCTCGAAGCAGCACAAATTTATTATCTTACAGTTCTGTTGAGACTTAGAAGATTCCCTGGGCTGAAAATCAAGATGTAAGAAAGGCTGCATTCCATTCAGGAAGCTCCAGGGTTGATTCCACTTCCTTCACTCTTCTAGCTCCCAGGGGCCTCCTATCTACCCTGGCTCAAGACCCTTCCTTCCAGTTTCAATGTCAGTCAACCTCGACTCTCTCTCTGCTGTTTCTTCTGGCATAACTCTTTCTCCAACTTGTTCTGGAAACACTAAGGACTTTTAGGGAATCATGTGATTAGGCCCATTTAAATCATATAGGATGAACTCTTCCTCTCTAGTCCATCCTTTAATTTAATTTACAAAGTCCCTTTTGCCATGCAAGAACATTCTTAAGACCAAGGAATTAGGGCGTGGACATCTTTGATGTCCATTATTCTGCCTACCATAACATACTTAAATTTTGCATATCAAAAAAAAGTTCGCAATGTAAGTAGTATTTTTACTTCCATTTTAAATATAAGGAAACTGAGGTACACAG